CGTTTCTTTAGTCACTTGGTCAGTTCCCCCTGTTGTTTCACACAGCAACGAGGGAGACAGAGACATTTTTAAAAGGAGGCAAATGGGGTTGTAAACCCACAAAAGTTGTCAGGGGTCTCTGATATTGATTTTTACTACTTTTTAAAATAGATATATTTCAGATATAACCACAGCCAACCCTTTATGGCAGGGTGCAACGGGGTCAGCACCTCCAGAGTCCCCTTTCCCCCATGGCCTGGGGTGGCCCTGCAGCATCCCTGCCTCAGTTTCCCCACAATGACTTGGCCATCCAGCTAAGACATTAACAAAAATCCCCCCCTTCCAGGGTATCCAATTCCAAAAACAAAACACAAACTCTTTGCCCCAGTCTCCAGCAAGGCCCAGCTCCTCTTCCCCAGGGGGCTGTCTTCCCTTCTCTAATCCAAGCACTCCTCTGAGCACACTTTGGACTCAGTTTACATCCTGTCCTTTTCATCCTCCCCTCAGCCCCTTGGGGTTGCTCTCTTACAAGCAACCCCTCCCAGGTTTTCCTGCCTGGAGTCCTCCACACACCTCTCTCTGCCTGGCTTGTGCTTGTGCTTGTCTCTGACCCTCTCACCATCATCTGCTCCTCTCTTTAGCCAGCTGGCCACTGTTGGGCTTCCTTTTAAGTCCCACCCTGCCCAGGGCTAACTGACTGACCTTAAAGGGGTAGGCCATCTTTAGTCAGGGATACAGTTCTCTACTAAATTCAAATGGAGGATTTAAAAGCCCTATCGTCATTTTCAGAGTTCCCCATGAGGCAGTGGTTCTCAAACTGGGGCCGCCGCTTGTGTAGGGAAAGTCCCTGGTGGGTGGGCCGGGCCGGTTTGTTTACCTGCCGGTTCCGCAGGTTCTGCCGATCACGGCTCCCACTGGCTGCGGTTTGCCGTTCCAGGCCAATGGGGGCTGCGGGAAGCGGCGGCCAGCAAATCCCTTGTCCCGCGCCGCTTCCCGCAGCCCCCATTGGCCTGGAGCGGTGAACCGCAGCCAGTGGGAGCCACGTTCAGCTGAACCTGCGGATCCGGCAGGTAAACAAACTGGCCTTGGCCCGCCAGGGGCTTTCCCTACACAAGCAGCGGCCCCAGTTTGAGAACCGCTGCCATAAGGGATCAGGAGAAATACACAGAGACACCTACAGGCCCCTCCATTAAACATTCCCACATTATGCTCTGTCTTCCTTCCATCACATGTCAAGGTTAAGTCTCAGGTTGTTTCCAGACTCCATTGGTTATAAGATAACGATACAGATTTAAAGCTTCACAAACCTATGCAGTATGATTAAAAAGAGTCTCTGGCCTTACCCTGCCCCTGTATGAGACTCCCATATTCCAGTGAGATTCCTTGTTTGGCGTGGTGATACCAACTGGGTGGATAGTGGAGTGTCCCAGCAGACTGGGTTAGTCTGGAACTGGAAAAGAAGGGGGAGAAAAGGACGTGTTTAGTGCCTTGTGCGCCACATCTCCTGTACTCTCGTGCAGCATGGAATAGTCAGCTGGTGCTGTAGATCTAGGAGTGGCTGTCTGCTTTGCCTGGTTTCCACTGGTTACAGCAAAGGGGAAAGGAGGAGATCATAAGGGGGCCAGTTGTGGCTCCCTAAACCTGGGGCTGTTCTATGCCAGCCATGGCCCAGAGGGGCTGCTGTAATATATGCTGTCTGGCATTAACCCCTGGGAGTCATCTGCTAGCTGGGAATTGCTGAAGCAGAGTGTGCTCTAGCCACAGCCTACTGCTGCCCCCTTCCCAATCCCAGCATGCCCCCTACACTAGGAACCACAGAAAGGTTGGCACGGGACCCAGCTACTCTGGGGGAGGGGAGGGAATCCAATGGTTCATCTGTCAGATTTACTGAGTTTGGCTCAGGCACATTTGTAGTTTGTAGGATGGCGCTGGCATTCGGCATCTGCTCCTCACTTAAGTACAGCAGGCATTGTATCATTCATGCCCCACTGTAGTTCCTTTGTTCTTACTGCATGTGTGTGCGTCTGTCTGTCTTTGCCCTGAAACATTTCTGATCATTTTCCTCTCTGTCTTTTCAGGAACCTCCCCCACTATCCTAGGTTTACAAGATGTCAAGCCAGCATCCTTGACATCTGTACCCCTCTCCCTGTATCCATCCTGTACATTCCATGCACTTCCAAATGGCAAGGAGCATGAAATAACCCTCTGGACCTTAATTATGGATGCCAAGCTGCATGTCTGTAATGAGCTCATATGAATGCCCCTGAATGTGGGAGGTGGGGTTTGAAATGTGGATCTAAATCTGAACTGTCCCAAAATCAGAATGTATTTAGTTTTAGTCCATTAGTAAGAGGGGTTCTGGATCTTTTATCCCTTTCTATCCATCAGAGGAGTGAGGTTCTGGAACATCCTTCTAACAGGAGGAGTGGGGGCAAACCACTAAACTAGTTTTAAGAGAGAGCTTGACACATGCATGAGTGGGATTAAATGAGAGGGTTGCCTGGGATAGCAGGGCCTTGATTGGTGGTCCTAAGAGGTCCCTTCCAGTCCTATGGGCTGGGGTTATGGGCCAGACCCACCCTGACACACGCATTCATTCCTGCACCCTGAATATTTACCGTAGTGTATTTCCCTTTGCTAGCCAGAGAGGGGCTTGCATTGTGGACAGAACCACTTATAACGTAAACAAGAAAACTCGGTAAAGGGACCATGTCTGTTTTGCGAGCAAATGCGGATCTGACTGAAATATCCCTCCGGGTTATCACTTCCTTTCAGAGCTGCAATTCGGATATCAGAGAGCTGAGCTTTTTAACAGGTCTTCCCACTCCCAGGGGCTTTTTCAACCCTGAGATATTCAGTATCTACATCTCCTATTGCCAAGCGACGTTTCCTTTTTAACATTGCTTCTTGAAAAAAGACTTTTTAGGTAATACATTTTTTTTATTAGTTTCTCGGCAGGGATCTGCTGTTTGATTTGTGCTGGGGTTTGTGTGTCTGCTATTGGTGTTCGGGTGGATTGTGTGTGTGTGCGTGCGTGTATATGTTAGTTTCCACTTAGAACGCATGAAAAAACAAACACCCCAACCAAGCCGTGGCATGAAACCTGGAAGTGCCTGCTGAACAATTCTCGCAGATAAAAGCCAGGAGTGTGCATCTCCGTCAGTCTATTTGTCCTACCTGCAGCCAGCTCTGTAACCTCTGGGTGTGAACTTGTCAGCATTCACAAGTTGAGTGGGGTCAGGCGTTGGATGGGAGGCCTCAAGAGAAAGCCAGGTGCTGCAGGAGATGATGTTGGTAGGGTTCCTTGGCCCTGTAATATTGGAAAAATTGTAAAATGGAAGGTCCCTTAGAGGAGTGCTCATTAAAGACCCCACTGCCCTTTTCGAAAGAGCAGGCATGCAGTGCCCTGGCCTACTTCTAACTTACATCACATTCTACCTCCAGAAAAGCCCCCCTGCACTTCCAGAGGGACCTGGCATTCTACTCCACTTCCGGTCCTCAGTTGATTGTGTAATGTGTCATGTAACAAAGCCACTGGGAAACAGCTGCCACATTCTACCACAGAGGTGGCTGCATTCCAGTGGTGCAGTGATCAAGGGCTTTGGGATCCTTTAGGGTGAAAGGTGCTACAGAAACAGGTGATATTTGTTATTGTCTGAACTGAACTTTTTAAATACAAAACAAAATATATCTGTAAAAGGCTTCCCTCCCCTTTCTACAGCTAGCCTGATTTCCTCTTCCTACATTTCCCCTCTTCTTTCCCTTAAAAGTCCAAAATCACTGTCACTTAACCCAACCCTAGAGCCCTGCCTTGCTTTTTTCAGGCACCCATAGGAATGTGGGGTCACAGCATCAGGGTGTGATGTAGGAACAGCTGTGGGGGCAGAATGAAGCAGCTGGCTTGGGGGAGAGGGGAAATTGCAGCAAAGGTCCCTAGCAGGTGAGTGGATGGGAGACTGGCAGGCTGCAGTTGTCTCATGGGGGTGCTATATAGGGCTGGGGAGGAGAGCTGGCATGGAATAAGACCGTTTCTATGGGAAAGCAGATCACGGCAATTGTTAGCTGGGTCGGTTCGGTTCAGCGAGCGGGTCAGGAATTTGTATTGTGGCAGCATCAAATGAACCAATCAGGACCTTGAAGTGAAGGGTTCTGCACAGGCACATAGGAGAATGGGGGCCCTGCCCTGAAGAGCTTACAGTCCACCGTGGGACAAGATGTGACAAGTGAACGTGACAAACAGGAGACGGGATGGAGGAAAGGGAGATAAGGGTGATGATGAAAATGTCATACAGGTCCATAGGTAGCTGCAGACGCCACAGGAGAGGTGGCTCTGGGGAGTGATTTGAAGGACAGAGCAGTTGGCGGGGGAGATTCAACATTTCAGAGGTGACGGGAAAGAAGTTGCCAAGACGCTTGTGGGTGAAGCAGATGAAGGGGTCGGAGAGGCTGGGCAGGGGCAACTCAATGAGCCAGAAGAGCAGATAAACAGAGAGGGGCTCAGGGAGAGGGCAAGAAACTTGAACTAGATACGGTGGGAAAAGGGGGAGCCAGTGGAGGGATTCAGGGCAGGGGGGAGACAGAGTGACATGCTGAGAGCTGATTTCAATAGCTGGGTTTTGAATGAACTGGAGGAGGCTATGGGGGTGCCAGAGCCAAGCACGGAGCAATAGCCAAGACAGGGGATGATCGGGGCATGGATGAGGGGTTTGGTTTAGGTTTAGGTGACAAAGAGGACATAACTGGGGCTAGGGGAAGCCCTAGAATTTGGGATTAAGATGTAACTTGGGGGGGCAAGTTCCCCCCGCCCCTTGAGACCACCCAAGGTTAGCCTCTCACCACATCTATTGATGTAAAGAGACTTGGAAGTGAAGGGGATATTCCTGGGCTGTGAAACCTCCAGAGACAAGGCTGTGAAATGGCACCAACTGCTCATTTCTGCCTCCAGACATTGGCGCAGGAACCGGGTCCCTCGCTCACCCCTCCCTCTCCCTGAAAGCCCAGCTGCTGTGCACTGCATTGCAGGTGAGGCAGGACACCTGGCCACTTCTCAGGACTGTGAAATCCCAGCATGTGACTTGATCTAACGCAACTTAACTGCAGCCTCCTCCAGTCAGACACAGACACTTGAGGCACGTAGTCGGCTACAGCAGCCTAGAACATGCCGTGGCGCCTCCCTGATCTAGGCCAGCTGTGGCTGAGCTAGTGAACTAGAGGTGACATGCCCTTTATTATTCTTGTAGGCCAGCATTCAGTCCCCACGGTGGAATTCCTTTCAGTGTAGCTAGCATCCCTCAGGATACTTGATCAGCAACCATTAGGAACTGCGGAGGGCATCATTTTATTAAAAAGCGAAAGCAGTGCTGGTCAAAGGTGCCAGGCGGACAGCCTTGTATGTATGTCCCATCACGATGGTACCTAAACAGTTCCTAGATTTATCCTCCCAGCCCCCCTGTCTGGCAGGGAAATGCTATTAACCCCTTTTTACCCATGGAGAACTCAGGCCAGGTCTACCCTTAACATTTAGGTCAACGTAGCTATGTGGCTCAGAAGTATGAAAAACCCACCCCCCTGGATGACATACCTCCACTGACCTAACCCCCAGCGCAGACGCAGCTAGATCCATGGAGGAATGCTTCTGTCAACCTAGCTCCTGTTGTTCAGAAAGGTGGCGTTCCTACATGGACAGAAAAACCCCTGCCATCAGAGGTAGCTGCGTCTCCACTGCGTGGATTATGCGGGCACAGCTATGCTGATATAGTCAAGCCTTGAGACACAGAGATCAAGGCCCAGATCCTCCAAGGTATTTAGGCTCCTAACTTCCATTGAAATCAGGAGCCTAAATACCTTGGAGGATCTGGACCTAAGTGACGTGCCCAAGGTCACACAGGAAGTCTGTGGCAGAGCCAGGAAATGAACCCAGGGATTCTGAGTCTCAGTCTGATCCCACTGTATTCCCAGAACGGGTACAGCACAGGCAATGGCAGTACAAGGTTATGCCACACTGCCCCCTTGCCAACCTCCCTTCATCAAGGCCTGGCCTCTCCAGGACCCATAACCGCTCTGCTGAAACTGCAACAACCAAAGGGTTAAACGTCACCTGACGGGAGGTAGCCATAGCACATTTCGGCACTTTGCTCATTGGCTTTAGATATCAATGCCAGCCAAAGATGCTTCAAATCCGCTAGCACGTTGAAATCCAGACATGAATGTTGTGTGTTCTCTTTTGCAATTTCACAGTGGTTCTTCCAGGAATACCACATGCTCCAATGCTAATTTTAGCTTATAATAATTGTTGAACATTCTTGGATGCTGCAAGCAGGCAAGATTGTACCGTGCTGCTGTCAGGTTTCTTTTAAAGGCAACACCCGTATTTCAGAGAAGAACTGAATGCCTTTACCCTGGGGGGTGGGTTAATATTGACACAAAGTGCATCCATCTGGCATGCTGGATATTACATAAGGGCTAAAGATGAGAATATCATATTAAGAAATGAGACCTGTCTTAAACCACTAATCAAGGGACTGAGAAAGAGCAGTGGCTTAACTGAGCTAATAAAAGGGCAGCAAAATTATATTCAATACAGTAAAACGTATATTAAGGACGTCTCCTGAGATGAGAGGTTACTTAATAAGCATCTCTTGCATAGTTTTTCCATGGGTGGACAATCCTTTAAGGCCATCACTCAACCTGGCAAAGCCTCTCTCACATGAATAATTCCAGTGGAGTCAATAGGGCTCCCCACAGAGTAAAAATGTGCCGGGCCAGGTTCCAGATTCGTAGGTGCCATAGAACATTTGGGTTTTCTCATGTTCATAGCTGAGCGTGAAGCAGACAGTGAAGGTTTGGGTTGACGCTAATGCAGAAGAAGAGTGGATATGCAGATTTAAATAACCCATGCTGTTGGCAATGCTTTGCTCTAGCAAGAGATCTGCTGGGGTAATAGGGTTTTGCTCCACTGAAATAGTTTGGAAGGAGTCAGCAGGAAGAGATTGCTGAGTCAATATGCTGTGTAACAGAGTAACACGGGGCACAAAGACCGCTCTGGCTCCAGCTGTATTGCGTACATCATCTAGTAAAGCATTACAGCTCTGGGGGCGTGTAACGAGGTCCACGCCTGCCTCTCGCAAGCGCCCCCTTCTCTGCCCGATAGTGCCTGCAATCGCAGTTCTTTTGAGCGAGAACCGAGCCTCTGGCTGAGCTGCATTCACTGTCCCCCATTCCGGGGTATACAGTCTCGGGGTTTTCCCCCAGCCCTGGTATGGGGCTGTAGCTCTAAGACTTCTTCCCAGAGGCCCTGCCTTGTTCAATAATCCAGCCGGGGCCCATTTTGGTACCCACAGCTGGTGTCCTTTCAGCAGTCCTCCCTGGGCTCAGTCTGCAACAGACCAGCTGGGCCCACCTCAGTGCCCTCAGCTGATCAGGCCAGGTTCTGGGCTCAGTCCCCCAGGTTCTGCTTGCCCACACTGACCTGTCCACAGTCCTGCTGCTCATTCAGCCAGCCAACAATGCACCTGGTCCTCCCTCTTCAAGCTCCAGGCAAGAACTACACTGTCTCTTTGCCTGCTTGACTTTTATATGGCCTTCCAGGCCCTGATTGGTCGCTCCAGTAGCCCCTCTGATTGGTTGCTTCTCTGCAGCCACTCTAGTCTGCCTGGAGGACTTCTCCGCTACTCTATTCTGGGACAGGGTGACACAGGACTGTGAGGGCTCCAGCAGAGGGCCTCCACACCTACTCGACCCTGTCACAGGGTGAAAGCCACTATTTACCCCAATGCAGCAGGCATGGATTTCCCAAATGGACCTCCAACTTTACAAGGAAGTTTCAAGGCCACCTAAACCTCCCACAAGAGGCGGCAATAACCAGGTGGCTTGGATGTGCAATATGGAGAACATTGTTTAGACTTGGCCAGATAACCCCAAACCTCATCTAAACAAATTAATCTGGACACTTTGGAGGTGGGGTGGGAGGTGGAGTGGGGGAGCAGGCTCAGTGGCTTGGCAGACTGAGGTGGGCACAAGCTCAAGGTCTAAGAAAGCCCAAGATTACGTCTTTCTGCCACACTGATCGCCTGTCCTTGAAAGATGCAAAGAAGCAGTAAGGCTCTCAAAGGAAATTTATTTGGGACAAATATTTAAAAAGTGCTTAGCATTCAGCGGCTCTCCTTGAGAACAATGGGGAATTCCCATTCCCAACCCTCTCCCCCCCCTTGAGAACAATGGGGAATTCCCATTCCCGATGCCCCTCCCTTGAGAACAATGAGGAATTCCTGCCTCCTCCTTGCCCCCATTTGAGAATATTGGGGAATTCCCACCCTTGACTCTCCTGGAGAACACTGGGGAATTCCCATCCCCCACTCCTCCACTGAGCGCAATGGGAGCTGCTGGATTCTGGGTTCTTCTGAAAATCTTGCCCCTTGTTTTAAGCTCTCTCTAGAAAAGGATGTTCAAGAAGCACCCTGCTGGGGGAGGGGGCTTTAGAGTTTAGTCAGGAAGAACAAAGAGGTTAGGGTAAAAGCTCACTCCACACACCCAGCCTGGCCTCTGTCCCTGAAGTGGAGGGATCCAATTTCTATGCTGTAGATGCACCCATGGTAAGTTCAGTTCGGTGAGGGAGATGCCCAGGCTGACTCCTCTCAGGAGCTGCACCCTTTGGAGGCCAACAAGGGGAGATTCAACTAAATTACAAAGTAGCAAATGCAAAACCGATAAAAGGAAATACTTTTTCACTTAACACATTACTAGTCTGTGGAACTAACCGCCACAGCAAATTGTCGAGGCCGAGAACTTAGCAGGATTCAAAAAGGGGCTGGATATTTATACGGACGACAAGAATATCCAGAGTCGGAATAATTAATAAACAAACATTCTGGGAGGAATAGTAAAGCTCCTGCTTCAGGGCTTAAGCCAATGTCTAACTATGAGAGACTAGGATGAGACCTATCTGCTACTGCAGGGTTCTTACACCTTCTTCGAAGCATCTGGTGCTGGCGCATGTCAGCAACAGGATCCTGGATTAGATGGACCTTCGGTCTCATCCAGTCTGACAATTCCTAACAGCAGTCTGAAGGGACTCCTATGTGAGATGCGACAAAGGTCCTGTGGCACCTTATAGACTAACAGATGTATTGGAGCATAAGCTTTTGTGGGTGAATACCCACTTCGTCAGACGCATGTGGTGGAAATTTCCAGAGGCAGGTATAAATATGCAGGCAAGAATCAGTCTAGAGATAACGAGGTTAGTTGTACATAACGAGGTGAGATGTACATCCTCACTCTCACTGCATATGGGGCCAACCTGGAGCTCCCCACTCAGTTTTAACTCAAGCAAATTCTCACTGAATTCTCATGAGGCAGAGTAAGAAGGAAGGACATCAAAGGGAGGTTAATGCCCTGGACTAGGACTCAGGAGGCCTGGGTCCAATTCCTGTTTCTGGCACGGCCTTCTTGTGTGGTCACTTAAATCTGTTGGTGCCTCAGTTCCCCATATGTCAAACAGGAGTGATAATTTGAGCTGGCAACTTTCAGTGAAAACTCTTAAACCAAATTATTTCAGGGAACATGGAATTGTAGTTCGCTTCTCTCCCATAATCTCCCATAATGCATCATGGTTCCCCCCTCTTTGCTGGCGTAAGCTGTGCATCACAGAGTCCCTGCTCAGGGTGCATTATGGGAGATGTAGTCCAACTGGGGATCCCAGCCCGTGGAGGAGAACGGGGACAAGAGCAGCAAACTGCAACCCCTAGGAACAAATTGCAACCCCTATAAGGCACTAGAGCTCCCATTTTCAGCTGAAATACTTCAGTTTTCAGACAACATTTTTCAACAAAAAACAATTTTCTGTGGTAAGTGGACACTTTTCACAAAAGGTGTCATTGAATCGAAAACCCAGGTTTCCACTGAAAACTGATTTCAACAGAAAATTTTTGACCAGCCCTTGTAATGATCCTTCCTTTGTCTTGTCTATTTAGATTGCAAGTTCTTTGAGGTAGGGACTGTCTCTGACTTTGTGTCTGTACAGCGTCTAGCACAATCGAGCCCTAGTTGCAGTTGAGGCCTCTATGTGCTATTGCAATAATAATAATAATAATAATAATAATAAAAATAAGCTCTAAGCAACGACATCAAGATTTGGATCTGGGTACGTTGTGGATCCAGGTCTGTGCTAAAAGGGAAACCATGGGCTCACAGATTAGATAGTTTGCTTTGAGTTCATATAGAGACCACTTGATTCTTCCACGAAGTCTAAGCTATGAAATCAGAGTGCCTTCCTTTTGTTTGGGTGAATTCACACTGCACTTTTTTTGTTTTTTAAACTTTTTATTAGGACAAGGTTACAATAAAATGTTACCATACTACATCACTTATGCAGGCTCAGGTTAATATTCCCAAGAACCTGGCTAAAGATTCTGCTCTGGAAGTGACCTCTGCTTGGAGACATCTTTCAGGGAGACAACTTGGATCTGGGGGATGGCTTGAGTCTGGTTCCATACTGCTTCAGAAACAGCAAACAGACTTCTGCTATTTCCTGATAACTTCTTTCCCGACTTGCCTTCTTGAGCCGGAGTCTCTCTCGTGTGCTTGAGGAGGAACAAGATGACATAAAGCAAATTATCCAGCAGGATCAGGCAGAGATTAAAGCAGGCATTTCATAGCGTTTATTTTTAAACCAAGGCAAGAAAATTGAGTTCTTCCTTTTTGAGACTCATTTCTCATCTAGCCATAGCAATTGCAATTAGGTGTATTTGAGGGGTGTCAGGCAGTTAATATATATATCAAATCTTTCATGTAACTTAGCAGGGCTTTACCTGGGAACAAATATGCTTTTGGTGTGTTAAACGAGCATTAAAAACCGTTGGTTTTCACTACCTCCTGGGACTCACAGGTGTTTGTTAAGGGATTAATAAAATGCTGCTTTCATAGCCAAGTAATCAGCCTGACATGTGAAATTTATCTTGCTGTCCCAACACCCTTGAGTAGGTCCTGTTGGAAAATGCACTCACCAGCATAGCCCAAGCATGGCAAAAGTCACATTTTCCCTCTTGCGGTCCTGTGTGATGGTGTTGGTTTCTCTGAGAAGCCCACTGTGAGAACAAGCAGAGTGCAAATAGGTCTGTAAACAATGGAGGCAGCAAAGTTAAATTTGTAGAGCAGGAGATGGGGAGGCAGGACACCTGGGTTCTAGTCTTAGTTCTGCCACTGACTCACAACATGACCTTGGCCAAGCCACTTAATCTCTGTGTCTGTGCCATTTATGAAACGGGGAAGAGGGGTAGTACTTCCCTTCCCCACAGGGGACCGTAAGGCTTAATTCATTTGTGTAGGTCAGGTGCCTTAAGGGCCTCAAAGGGAAGATAACAAGGATAAAGCATCGGTGTTGTTAGAGTGCCAGTCTGCCCATCACCGGTGAGTTGGCCAGGCCGAAGAAGGTATTTTGACATGCCTAGCAGATCACCCCGGCGCCCCAGCCAGCACTCCCTTGCCCCACACCAGGGTAGGACATGAGCCACTGCAGAACATGGGTGGGGCCTGTTGGGCCTGTCTGCACACTCCCTGCCCTGCCGGGCTCCAGCTCGTCGTAATGTGCAGCATTTCGGATGCTGCGAGTAGTGTCAGGCACGGTCTGAAACCAGCCGAGTCTATTCTGTCGGTCTAGGAGCAGGGAAAAGGTTGTTGTCATGGGCCTGACCTCTGGTGTCCGATACTGTCAGTCCTGTTCTTTACCCTGAAAGGCCCTGTGATGCTCTCACAGAATAGCAGTAACCCTGTCTCTCTCTCTCTCCTCATTTAAAAGGGCTCGAGTGCCAGAGGCCAAAGCGTCAGAACTCAAGCGACGACATTGAGGTCCTCTCCACAGGAACCCCACTCCAGCAAGAAAGCCCGGAGCTGTACAGGAAAGGCACCACCCCTTCTGACCTCACTCCCGACGACAGCCCCCTGCAAAGCTTCCCCGCCAGCCCCTCCTCTACCCCGCCACTGGGCCCCACCTGCAGGACCAAGAGCGCCCATTTCTCCAGACAGGTCTCGGTGGACGAAGAGAGGGGTGGTGACATCCAGATGTTGCTGGAGGGACGAGGCGGAGACTACTTGAGACCCAACAGCTGGAACGAAGACAAAGCAGGCGGGACACGTAGCGTTAGAAGTGGGACCCTGCGCAGCAGTCATTTGGGGTCTGCCTCCATCCCTGAAGATTACAGAGGCCGGAGTGGAGGGCACAAACATATGGCCTCCAACCACAAGCAAAGAGAGAGGTGGACAGATTCCCCGGCCACAGTTTCTTGGACTTCCCACCACCGGTCCCACAACCACAGCTCAGGGAGTGCCAAGTTGCTTGGGCTGGATGAGGAGAAGCTGAGCAATTACGAGATGGAAATGAAACCCCTCATGAGGATGGATTCTTATATGCAAGAGATTCACACCCAAAAAAGACACTATAGTAAAGCAGGCCCCTGCAGGAGCCTGGCTGAGGACCCCCGTGGGGAAGACCGGGGCTTTGGGGTTCAGAGACTGAGGTCTAAGTCCCAGAACAAAGAGAATTTCAGGCCAGCTTCCTCTGCTGAGCCCACAGTGCAGAAACTGGAAAATCTGAGGTTCGGGGACAAAGCAGAACCCCGGCTATTAAGGTGGGACTTAACCTTCTCCCCGCCACAGAAATCCTTACCTGTTGCATTAGAATCCGAAGAGGAAAATGGGGATGAGCTCAAATCCAGTACGGTAAGTAGACAAACTTGTGTCGTTGAACCTGACTCAGGAAGCAGATGCCAAGGCGAACCTGAGCTGGTTCAGAACCGTTGCAGCGTTAGAAAGGTGTGGAAGAAAATTCACGCCATGAGAAAAACTGCCCCCCTCTCCCCCAACCAACCACCTTTAGTACCTTGAATTCCCCCTGCCTCCCATTTGTCACAAGGTATCAAGTACATTGAAAGGTGATTTTTGCAGCTTGCGTTACTGGCAAAATGTCTCTGGGGAAATGGCAAATTTTCTACATTGGGCGGGGGAAGGCATAAACAGGGAAATGTGATTTGTTCCAAGGTAAAATTTTGTCACAATGAAATCCCAGCAGGACTCAGACTTGATCAAATGCATGAAACATTGCAAACCACCCTCCCTCCACCCAATAAAAACCCAGCACCCTCAGAAATGACAAAATAATTATCAGGTTCCTGCCCACATGAAAATTCACCCAGCAAAAAAAGGAGCAGGTCCATGCAGCTCTTGTTGATATATTTTATCGGTAGGCCTGACAAATCCAACAGTATGAAATAACCCAGTTGCAACAGCTCTGTATTTGAATCCTTACCTCACGCCATTGCATCAATGTACAGTGATGTCATGTCGCTGCATCATAGTGTATCACCAAGTGTGATGCAATGTTCTTGTGCCATAATGTTGTTGCATTGCAAAGCCTGAAATAAAGGTGATCCTTTAATTGTGCAATACGACAGTCATGGAAGAGGCCCAAGAAAATTAGGACTGTTCTCTGAATTTCTGGATAAGGGATGATCCTGATTCTAGTTGAACTCTTGGGAGTGCGTTGCATAGCACTAAACGCCCACAAATCCTATGGAAGTCACTAGGAACGTGTAGGTGCTTTGTCTGGCCCTAATATCTGCAGGGAGCTGGGCCTAAACAACTGATCTGTTAGCACCAATGCACAGGGCTCTGTCACAAGAGCTAAAGGTGAAATCCAGCCCTTGTTGTGGGCTAGGCCCTAGCAGGTGATGTTACTTATGCACACAAACCCAGTACATCATATACTCCCCCAGAGTTAGACAAACTTCTGCGGTTCGCAGGAGTTGAACCCAACCTACGTGCTGGAGACATAGTTACTATGTAGATCACACACACAGGGGACTGGCGCTCAAACCCTGGCTTCAGATCTAAACAAACATTAATACAAGACAGTTATTACTGACTAACTAGCAGGTACAGCCTGCATGTAAAGATGCACAGACAAGCCATTAGCATGCACATCATATTTCTAAGTGCTATAACTGTGAAGCAGCATGTTCAGTTTTCTCACATTCATAACCAAGGGTGGAACAGATGGTGAAGGTTTGAGTTGAAGTTAATGAAATACAGAGTGATAGATGATATGGGGATTTAAATAACCCATGTTGCTGGCGACTCTTTGTTCTAGAAAGAGTTTTGCTGCATTAACAGGGTTTGAGTCCAGTGGCATGGGCAGGAAGGGAGTCATCAGAAAGAGCTTGTTGAGTGAGTATATCTAGAACACAAAGCATCACCCATCCATAGCATAACAACAATACAATGTCACATACATATAGCATGTTGCACCTTCAAGGATCTCCAAACATTTCACCAACATTAGGGAGTTTAGCCTCACTTTACCCAAAGGTAGCTGTGTGTGTGATTAGCTCCATTTTACAGATGGGAAAACTGAGGCACAGAGCAGTTAAGCCCCTTGTCCAAGATCACAAAGTGAAGCAGTATCAGAACCAGGAAAAGGACATAGCACCTTTTAGCTCTGTGCCGTCAGAGCCACCGAGTTCATGAGTGGGAACCCCACACCTGTGCAAAGCATTGCCGCTCTGGATTTCCCAGACAGGCTTTAAGTTTTTCAAAGCAAGTTTAAGTCCATCCAGCCTCCCCAGAGCACAACTTAGACTGCCAGTTTTAGACAAGCCTTCCTATTTCCAGCAGGCTGCCTCAGATGCCGGTTTGGTTTTCTCAGTTATTTGCTGAAATCTTGTCTTATTTCAAACTACTCAAGAACAACTAGTGTGGTCCTCAATGGAGCCAGATGCTCAGTGAAGGTTATGGGAGTTTTGTTTGATTAAAGACCACAGAAATGACACTGTTCAACTTCAACTACCGGCAAGGCATTATAAACAGAAAGAGGAAGACATTCCAGTGGCAGCCAGGTTTTGTTTTTTTAAGAGGCACATTCTCTATTAAGATATCCTAAGCATGTTTCACTGTCATCAGGGAAAGTGAAAGGGAGCCAGTCACCCTATAATTAGAGCCTCTCTGCTGAGGTATCACAGTGGAAGTGATGGGGTGTCAGTGAAGGCTGCTTGGCCAGGTATTGAGCCAGGGGGAGGATACCTGAGAGGAGAAGGTGATATGAGTCAATGCGTAAAGGGGGAAGGAAGCGGAGCGGATGGAATCCAGCAGCTCTCCCCAGAAATAGAACCTCCCAGCCTACGTAGGTGACAAATGTTCCTTTCTCGGCTTTTTCAGGGGCTTTCAAAGTATTTTAAAGGGATTGCACCTCGGGATGGACAATTTGCATTTGAAAACTTAGTCACCTTGAGTCCCAAAGAATACGAAACAAGTGATAAAAATAGCAACCGGTTGCTGCCTCCGTAATGAACTAACACCCACTCCCTGCGCCAACAGAGACTCTTTCCACTTGATGTTTAGGAAGACAGGCCACTGAGAGTGAATCTCTCCTAGCTGCTCCTGGTAAAGGGCTCTTCCCACCCCCCACCCGCTGCTGTCATTTGGCAGGTTGGGCTGGTCAACGAGAACATTGTTTGGACTCTGAATGGCTGTTCAGTTCACCCACATTTGTATCTCTGCCTGGGCCTAATCCAATGCCCTATGAAATCTATGGAAAGACTTACACGGTCTTCCAGGCCATTGGCTTAGTCCCCTTATCTGCTATACACTGGTGTGAATGGGGCTTATTTGCATAGCTGGGCAATGGGGTTCCTGGGGTCTTTCCACATTCAGGCCTTGATCTTACCCCTTCCCAGGCCTCGTGTCTCATCACAGCCTTTTTCCACAGCCCTCTCTCCAGGCTACTTCCACAGCACCACACTTCATTTCTGAGCTCTCCCTGGTCTCCCTCACTAGAGACACTCACAACAGGGCCAATGTCTCCCTAACTACTCTCCTTACTGACCATATATCTAGTCCCGCAGTCACTTGACCCCGGTCATCTGTTCCTGAGACTGTGCCACCTATCAGTCCCTTTAGATGACATCCCCCAGAATGCCCTGGTTTAGGGCTGAGCCAGGACTGGACCATGCTTGCCTATCACCTCCCTTTAAAGCCAGTGGATACTATGTCACAGTGACTATAGACAACAAACTATAAAATTATAAAAATCACAGAAACATAGGGCTGGGAGGGACCTCAAGGGGTCATCTAGTCCATCCCCATATGCGGAGGCAGGATTAAGGGTATTTAGACATCCCTGACGCATCTGCCTAACTTGTTCTTAAAAACCTCCATTGATGGGGAGTCCACACTTAACTTGTTTCATTGTTTAACTGTCCTTAGAGTTAGAAAGTTTTTCTTAATACCGAATCTAAGTCTTCCTTGATGCAAACTAAGCTCATTACTTCTTGTTCTCCCATCAGTGGGCATGGAGAACTCTCCATAAAACTATCCATAAACTGCCTCTCCATAAAGTGCTGACAATGCACAGAGCAAACACATGGGGGGGCGGAGGGGAGGAAATACTATTTTTCCCTCTAATCTCTTTCATGTACAGCCATCTCAGGGATTACTTGTAACAACTCTAGGTAAATAGTTTTCAGACAGAAGTGTGATGTTCAATTTGACGTTGTCCTTTTAAAACCCTTTTGATATCAGGAGGCCTTTGATGTAGCTGAAGGATTTAGCCTCATTTTTATTGTCATTGTCATCGTGTACGTGTTTTAGTCTTTTTGATGTGAATATTTAGAGATGGGCCTCACCCAACCCCCGAACTATGAACACTCCTCCACCCCCACCATGCAATAATTGGGATCAAGATCTGGATCTCAACTTTGTGGCTTGTGGCACCTTAGAGACTAACAAATTTATTAGAGCATAAGCTTTCGTGGACTACAGCCCACTTCTTCGGATGCTCCGAAGAAGTGGGCTGTAGT